GGGTGACCTCGGGAGGGGTCTCTCCTGTGGTGTCCAGGGCAGATGGAAGCCCTGTGGGTCTGTGCAGTGCCAGGGCTCAGCTCTCTGCCCCCGCAGGTGCCCGCATGGTGCGGGAGCTGTTTGTGATGGCTCGGGAACACGCTCCCTCCATCATCTTCATGGATGAGATCGACTCCATCGGAAAGTTCTGGTGGGGACAGCGAGGTCCAGCGCACGATGCTGGAGCTCCTCAACCAGCTCGATGGCTTTGAGGCCACCAAGAACATCAAGGTAGGAAAGTGCTATCCCTGCTTAGGGACAGGGCTGTGTCCTGCTAGGCCTGTGGTGACAGCGGGGTGCCCGGAGTGGTGACAGTTCTCTCCGTGCAGGTGATCATGGCCACGAACAGGATCGACATCCTGGACTCGGCTCTGCTGCGCCCCGGCCGCATTGACAGGAAGATCGAGTTCCCCCCTCCCAACGAGGAGGTAGGTGGGGTGCCCCTCAGTCCCCTGCTCCTCCCTGGGGGGACCACATTGTCCCCTGTCCTCTCTGGGAGCGATTCCTCTGTCTCCAACCCTCGCTTTGCTGCTGCTCTGCTCCAGGCTCGCCTGGACATCCTCAAGATTCACTCCCGGAAAATGAACCTGACACGAGGAATCAACCTGCGGAAAATCGCGGAGCTGATGCCAGGGGCGTCGGGTGCTGAGGTGAAGGTGAGCAGAGGGCACAGGACTGGTTTGGGTTGGAAGGGACCTTAAAGCTCATCCAGTCCCAACCCCCCTGCCAGCAGCAGGGACACCTTCCACTAGACCAGGTTGCTCAAAGCCTCATCCAACCTGGCTGAGAACACTTCCAGGGAGGAGCAGCCACAGCTTCTCTGGCCAACCTGGGACACTGTCTCACCACCCTCACACCAAAGAATTTCTTCCTCACATCTCAGCTCCATCTCCCCTCTGCCACTTTCAAGCCATCACCCCTTGTTCTGTCACTCCCTGCCCTTGGCCAAAGTCCCTCCCCAAAAACTCCCCTTATGAAAAGTCCCTCCCAGGGCACGGTGGTGGCTCTGGGCCAGGCTGAGGGGAGCGGTGGGTGACGTCCCTGTCCCTCGCAGGGGGTGTGCACAGAAGCTGGCATGTACGCGCTGAGGGAGCGGCGGGTGCACGTCACACAAGAAGACTTTGAAATGGCTGTGGCCAAGGTAAGTGCCATGGGGGGAGGTGAAGATGGGGCTGCTGGTGGGGTCCTTCCAGACTGGGGAGGGGTTGGTGGGACACAAACTACCCTGGGCAGCATCTGCAGGGAGCTGTGACACTGAAAGGGGCTCAGCTCTGGGGACAAACACCACAGCTGAGCAGATTGTCCCCAGGTTCTTGAGCTGTGAGTGAAACCAAAGAAGCTGGGGAGGTAGTGTAGACCATCCTTGGTCTGGCAGGAGGTGGAAGCTGTGGTGTCTTCCCCAAGCAGGGCTGAAGCTTGGTCTTGGGGGTGGTTTTGGGGTGTTATTAACACCTAAATGGGGTGTGATAGTTTAACTGGGCTAGCTGGGAACCAGCTCTCCTCCTCTTCTTCCTCCCTGCTGGGAACCAATTCTCCTCCTCTTCTTCCTCCCTGCCCAGGTGATGCAGAAGGACAGCGAGAAGAACATGTCCATCAAGAAGCTGTGGAAGTAACAGTGAGGCTGGGGCTGCTCCCTGGGCTGTGTTGTCTCCAATAAAGTGCTGCTATGGCCACACCTGGGTGCTGATTTAGGGACAGGAGTTGGGGGGGGGAGGGCTGCAGGATCTCACCACACACATCACCACACACACACACACACACACAGAGAGCTGCTGCTAACTGGTTTTATTAGAAAATATCCAAAATAAGACAAAAAAAAATGGTTACACAAGAGGCAGAACAGGCTCCCCTGAGCCACACCCCCTGGGACATGTAACCCCCTCCCCTCTGGCCACGTCACAAGGAGCGTGTGGGGCAGGGGTCAGCGGGGTTAAGGCACTTCAGTGGGTCTGGTGGGTGGTGGCACCATCCCCTCAGCCCAGCACTGTGGTCCCCTCACTCCCCAGTATCTCCAGTTCACTCAAAACCCCCCTGGTGACTCCGCTGCCCACAGGCTCCCGAG